CCTTGGTTGAAGACTTGGTCGATGGGCGGATTTTCATCTCTTCACAAGCTCTCCGAGCTGTTGATAGAATACTGTTCGAATCTAACGGCTATCCCTGGTTTAGATGGGCTCCTAGCTCTTGAAAAATTAGAGTTATTGTCTTGCGATGGATTAACAAGTCTACCAATCGTGCTTGGATCCTGCATCTCTCTTCAGTTGTTGGAAATTAGAAAATGCCAAAATTTGAACTCCATTCCAAGTATAAATGGGCTCACATCTCTTGAAACACTCAACGTTTTTCGTTGCAATGGATTAACGTGTCTTCCAATTGGGCTGGACTCTTGCATTTCTCTTCAGCAGTTGCGAATTGAAAGTTGCCCTAATTTAATTTCCATTCCAGAAGATATCGGGAAGTTACATTCTCTCAATGTTCTTAGTATCAGGAATTGCAAAAATCTAAGGAGCATTCCAGGGGAGTGGCTAGCTAGCCTCACCTGCTTAAAAGGGTTACGCCTTGGTCCTTTCTGGTCAGAGTTGGAGGATTTTCCTGAACTAACTTCCATTCATCAACTCCACGCTTTCCTTGAAGAATTGGCATTGTATGGATGGAATAAACTAGAGTCTCTGCCACATCAGCTTCAACATCTCACTGCCCTCAAGGAATTGATTTTATTGAAGTTCAATGGCCTGGAAGCTTTGCCAGAGTGGTTGGGAGACCTCTCTTCTCTTCACAGGCTGGAGATTGGGAATTGCTCTAATTTGACTCATCTGCCTTCTATTGAAGCCATGCGATGCCTCTCCAACTTACAATATCTTCACATTTGGGATTGTCCCAAATTGAAGCAAAGATGCACCAAAAAGAGGGGCCCCGAATGGTCCAAGATCTCCCACATTCCCAATATCAGAATCAATGGCAAGGACGTGCAAGGAAAATTCAAATACTCCTACGGTATGTTTAATTTGTAGAACCTTAATCCCTTCGTTCGACATCATTTATGTACACCCTAGTCAGAAATTTAACAACCGTAAAGCATTTCATTTTAATCTCTTTCTTTGAAGAAAACAGTCTTTTTCTCTTAAACATACTAACATATTATGATTCTGTTATTCAAATAATTAAGTTTTAGTCTTTGACCCAATTTCGGTGATTCATGCAGAGGAGTGATCCTAAATATTTATGGATCTGCTCAGGCCTCAGAGTTCATCCAAAGCTAGTGAGTCCCTAAATTCCTTTATTTAATCCTTCTGTTTATTTTTATTTTCATTCCAGTTTAATAGCAAATGTTTTTGTACCAATTGGTCCTTTGTTATTTTCATAATTCTTAGGCATCAATCACTTGAGTAGCCATCACAGAATTGTGAATTAATGCATAATCAAATGCTTATATTAGCTAAATATAAATTTCTGATGGAGTAGAAGACTGGCAAGACTGACAATCAGAAGCTTTCATTTTTGAGGTTTGCTTTTTTCCTCCATAATCCAATTTTTTTAGGTTTTGAGTATGATATTTTTTTTTTTGTTCTTTTGTGTGTTTCTTTGTTCAATTCAGTTTTGTTCATCTATTTTCATTTAAATAAATGCAGGCAATCTAATTTTCCTGCTCTGAAACCAAAAAAATATCATGATGACTGGAGGGTGATTTCCACACTGGGGACCCAACCAGATGAGTGGTCCTCTCTTTGAGTGTCTAAACTAGGGTTTCTCTAGGTTTGTCTTGTTACTTTGAAGTCATATGAGCTCTTAATCAATTTATGAATTTGATAAGTTTAAGCAAAGAATTTATTCCATTTCAGGTTAGAGAATATGGTGTTTTAGGATTTGCTTCTTTGCTGACTGTTAATGATCGAATCTGGAGTCTAGACTCCTTATGACTTTGTGAAGTACATTTTGAGAACATCTTTTTCCTTTGACAAGAGCACTGCAGCTTCACTAGTATTGATGGTGGCGGCAGTCCTTTCAGTTTTTCTTGGAATGTAAAGATCTTGGTGCCATAGATTATTGGTACACACATTTTACAGTAGTGAGGAAAGCATTGAATTTTACTTGGAATTAACCAGAGGATCAAGTCTTCCACCATTTCTCTGGCTCTTGTGCTTTTATGGTAGAATATCTCTTTCAATTTCCAACAAACGAAGAAGATGGCATGGCTTTACAAACCTTTTTTCTTTGAATCTAAAACGTATCATACCTGGTTTTGAATAAACTCTCTCTACGGCTTAAAGTTTGATGATGTAATAATGGACATGCAATCAACAAATGAAGTGAAGAGAACCTGACAATGAGATCCCTGTGCACCAAGTGATTGTTGGTAGAGTGGTCTCAATAGCATCAATGGATAGAACTATAACTTTGTAAGTTTTCCCCTTTAAAAGGCATTCCAATATTTTCATCTCGCTTTGTAGATGTAATTGATGGAAATGAATAAAAAGGCCAACCATCAGCATCTAGGAATCAATGATATTGAACAGATTTGTTTCAGGGATTTATCAAACAATGGCTTAATCAGAGAAGTGCACAACTTCTGTCTCAGATAGTCTTATTGAAGAAAATGTAAGTGTCAAGTGCATTTTGAAGGGTTCATTTCTTCTTTTCCCAGTTTCTTTTATTTGGTTATACATACGTATAATGGACTTAGTCAAAGAAGGGATTCTGGTGGCAGATACTGAAGGCACAAATTGGATAAAATGACCTCTCTTTTGTTCTTATTCACTTGTGCTTTGTCCTCTTACTCTATAATACTGTGTTCTTAATAGATTACTTATAAATTGATAGCTTTGGGTTTGCGGGTTAAATCAAAGTTTAGCTTGTTAGCAATTCTATTTCAGTGGGTGCTTCTGATATATTCCTTGTCTTCTTACTCTGCTAATATCTAGGAGGAAATAGGGAATGCAATGAAAATAGAATAGTGAAGCTGTTTCAGTGTTCAGAGCTGGTAAGTCCTTGTCCTCCAAATTCTCTCTTTTCTTTACCCTAATTACATTTTCTTCAGGTTGCTTTGTTTTTAACTTATTTTGTTTCATTCTTGTTTCTGACATATTTCATCTTGCTTCTCATACCACTACCAGAAAAACATTTTCGAGAATGCATGTAGCAGTTTCATTTTATTCATGTCCTGAAACAGATGCAACAAGATTATATGCTTCACTTTCTAAAATGCGAGGAGCAGTTGGAGATAGGGAATGTGAACAAGTAAAAAGAAAAAAAAATGCCAAAAGAAAAGGTAGTGATTTTGAAGTGCAAATTAAACTGTGTTGATTGCATTTCATTTATTCTGCTATGATTCATTTCTAAAGAATAAAATGAACCCGTGTTTCTTCAGTGCCCCTGTTCTTTATCTTGGAAAAGCTATGACGGAAATTCAATGAGGCTCATAGAGTGTCTTCAAGCATATGTGTTCCATTATCTGAACCTGTAGCTATTTCATTCTCATTTGTTCTCAATTTTCTTGTTGTATAACTTGTGTTCTCTTTTTCTTTGTGCTGTTATTTGATTGTTTGAAGATGATTTTGTAACACTAAATTGATGTGGTGGAGCTATTTTTTATGGACCAGAGGTCCCGTAGTTTTTACTCTTCTATTTGAAAGAGGTTTTCCATGTAAAAATTGTGCGACTCTTATGCGTCTTTGTTTGCTTTAGCCATTCTTATTTGTTTACATATTTAGTAGCTGTCATATGAATAGCTCTAGCCAAGTTTGCATTGGATTTTTTTTTTGTCTTTTTCTGCAATGATTTGTTGACCTGAAAAGGAAACTGATCCCATAAACCTTTCAAGTCTCATATATTCGTTAGTATATATTTTCCAAACAAAGCCTGTAGGGGGTTCTGTCTAGTATTCCGTGAACGAAGATTTTGCCTTGCAAGCAAAATAGAAAATACCCTGAAAAAAAAAAAAGAAAAATTATTTGTGTAAAATGATTCTCATATATATATATATATATATATATATATAAAAGGTGGATTAAGTTGAACTCAAGAGTTTAAGTTACCAAACTCTTAAACTTAAAAGATTGGTAGATTGATCTGTTTTCTTCTTAATTAATCAAGTTTTTAAGCATAGAAGTTATTCCATTTCAGGTTAGAGATTCTAGTGTTTAGCAGTTGTATTTTGTTGACTATTTATGATCGAATTTGGAGACCTTACTACTTCTGGCTCTCCAACAATTTAAGAACCTACTTTCCTATTGATGCCTTTCATAACATTTGTTACCAGTCAGGATCTCCTGTAATAAGCACTGCAGCTTCACTAGCATAAATGTTGGCCCAGAACTATACACACTTTTGAGGAGCTTGAAGAGCTAGCTCTCCTTGTGTGGTCCATTTTTTCTAGAATGCTAATTTACCTATCCAATATATTATATATAGTTTTAAAACCAACCGATCAGTCTTTCCACCAAGTCTAATTGCTCTTGTGTGGTTTTAAGGTAGAAGATTTATTGCAATTACCAACAAACCAAGAAGATGGTGTGATATCCTCTGCATAGAGCATAGACCATAATTGAAAAGAGAAGTCATCTTAATCTGGTTGAAAGATGAATGGGAACATACAAAGGTTAAAGCTTGATGAAATTATTAGTGGCATTCTTTTTAATACTTTGATGCTTGAAATTGCTCTTTCGTGGTGGGGTCGTTGGGCGGTAGGTTTAGGATATGTGTCACATGTTACCATGATGTAATGCTAATTCTATCATATTATGAACAAAGAGCTAGATTGATGTTCTTCAGTAGTTAATTAACTCCTAAAAGGCCACTTCCAACTACTTTATTAAATTACCAAACAGGCTAATAGAACTTGTGAGTTGTTTTATCTCCCAATCTTTGGCTGGTATGAAGGTTTTAGTAGATAAATAAGTATGGTCTTATAAAATAAATATAAATTTAAAATTTGAGTTGGAAACTTAAAAAATTAATTTTTTAAGGTATATAAGATTAATATAAGAGTATATCATTAAAATCATTAAAAAAAATAAATATCAAAGTATGCATAAATTAACTAAGGGCATGTGTTTGCCTATTGAACTGCAAATTTTGATGGACTAAAGATTGAAACTTTGAATTAAGTTTACACATGTCCTTTTTTATGGGCATTGACAATTGAAATGGTGAAAGAGATAGTGAAGGAAATAGATAGAATGATCAAGACTTGAATGGAAGATAATGGGTGGTGACTGTACATTGGCCAAACCCCATACTTGGACAGTTCGAGGCGGCGTATGAGAAAGATACAAGAAAGATGCTCTGTATTTTCATCTATAATCCCAAAATATTATGGCCTCCGAATTTGAGAGTGATAATGCATGACTATTATAAATAAATGCAAAATAACAATCCATTCGCCTAACATTGATTCTCTCACATGCCTATATTGAAACTCAAAGTTGAAATGAAAATACCAAAGTAGATTGCAGACTGCTAGCTGTCAGAGATACGCCCATAGATGGTGGGAAGAAAACCATGCCGGAGTAGCCTAATTAAACATTATGGAAACAGAGCATATCCTTGAAAAGGAAATCAATTACTCCACTCAGTCCACTGTGAAGAGCTTCAAACTTGCATCAATCATGAACTGTCAGAAATGAATTTCAGCCAAATGCTAACATTCTTAAGTTGTGCTCCGTTTATTTTAATTTTTTTTTTTTTATGTGATCTTTTGGATTAGTTTATATATATGTTGGGACTAATGCTTCTTACTACTGTTAAAAATAAGTTATTTACGTTGAAATTAAGGAATTAAAAATTAATTTTTTATTAACTTCTTAACTAAATCAAACTTTAGTCAACAAAATGAAAAACAAATTTAAAAGCAAATTTCATTATCAATTAATCCACTACTTCTTAAATTTTATTAAAACTAGTTAACTACATACTAGTACGTAATAAAAATCTTAATTCCTAAATTCATTTTGTTAAGTTGACCAAATAGCCATAATAGAATGAAGAGAAAATGTGTAAATAAAAATATTAATTTTATCAATTTTTAAATAAAAATATTAATTTTTAATCTTTTTTAATTTTATAATATCAATTTTTAATTTTTTAATTTTAAAAT